TTCGGAAGTCCAGCGTAGAGGTTTTACAGAGTATCAGTTCAGCTGAGATAAGGAACAACAAAATCTTTTTTTTTTCTTTTTTTTTTTTCTATACCACTTAAATCTCTATAGTCATGCTCAACACTTCCTCAAGAGGTTTCCAACGCTTCCTGCTCTGAGGCAAAATGGAATACTACCAGAATAGCCTGCTTTGTAGTTAATCAATATCACAGCTTTGAGCCTCTGCAAGAACACTACACTCCAGGTTAAACAAATATTTTAAAAAGCTGGAGAAAAAAATACATTGAAAGTACAAAGATTGAAGAATAACACCAGTTTTCCACTTCTACAGGACTTCTTTCATGCGTTCTAAAACAAAGGGAATGTTTGGAGATTCCTGCAAAGTTTAGCAGCAAGATAGTGATTAAAGACATGAAGAAAAAAAAATGAAACTACCTGAGAAAAATTGCCCTTTCCCCTAGATCTAATACATACAGATCAAAAGGGTATATACCAAATTCCATCCCCACCTCTCTTTATAGAATGCACAGTTCTCCTGTGCCCGTTATTTCAGTCAGTTGCATTGTTAGCTTATGTTCTCTAGCCTCCTTAATTATTTACATATGCCATATTTAAGTATTTTAATTAGAATTGTAATCATAATAGCCAGTAAAGCATCATTGCAAATTATCCCCTTAAACAGAATTCTCCAATCAATTTTATCTCTTTTTATAATAACCTGAGCACATAAAAGATTAAAGGGATTTTTTCAGCTTTTTCCTTTGGTCACATTAGGCATGATTCAAAAATGTAAATTTTCATGTTTCTCTGTAGTCCATGATGGTACCACCAACATTCTGCAGTCACCCGGTGTCTCCTAGGTTCCTCCAGAATGTTTCCTAACGTTCTGTCAAGATCTCAAATGCTTTGACTGGATTCTTCTCTCGCTTTTAAAATACCATGTGTAGATTGCATGTCTGTATCAGTTTTGATTTCTGAATAAACATTCATAATAGACAATTAAATATTCACAAAAATAAAAAAAAACCTTTTGAACATTTAAGTAATAGTATGTAATTAATCTATCTAGTATTTTTGAGGATTTTTGCCATTGGCATCTTTCATTTTCATTCAGAATTGACAATTTTATTTAAAACTAGAGATTTTTACATCAATAATTTGATATACATCACAAGTAACACAGGAATTACATAGCCCATGTAAACTTGTTTAGGTAAAGCACCAGTAAAAGTGCTTTAGGCACCAAGAAAATCTTAAAGTTTGAAATTACTGAGTCTGAGATTGCATGAGGACAAACTGTTAAAGCAAGACCCAAAGGGCACCTTCCTCTGATCAGGTAAAATAGGTAGTGAAGAGGACCTTGGAAAACCACTTTAGTTCCTTTTCAGTGTAGAATGAGGCCCTGATGGCTGCTGACATCAAACAGATCAGCTCATTCATAGTGGTACTGCACACAGAAAGGAACACAATACTTTCCTTGGGAGTAAGAAGTAGGACAAAGTACATGAAAGATGAAAATTATGTATATATTTAGGGTAAGATCACCCTTTGAGAAGAGCACTAAAGAACTGGGTTTCTTCATAAGACTGCAAGCCCTTTCTTTAATTTCTTAGATTTCTGTGTGGTTTTTATTTCAGTCAGAGCTGACCAAAGGGAAAATCAAGTATGACTGACCATCAGCTGCTTCTAAATTCCTGTTCAGCTCCTGTCAAATGTCAAATGCTTTGCTCTCTTGCAGATTTTTCCACTGGTATCATCGGTCTTCGATATGCCAATTTTTACTGAAAAATTATTCTGACTACCCACAATAACTACATTAACTTACATCTTAAAGATGAAGGCCATAAATAGGTATTACACAAAAAACATGCACTTAACGTCAAAGACTTTTTGGAGTCTTCTTATTATTCACTATCAGAGTTCCAAAGAATCAAATATGTCTCAAAACATATTTGAGACATCACAAATGTCAAAAACATCAATAAAATGTGCTATAAACATATAGATATTTTTAAGCACTATCAATATTCAACAGAAGAAGCTTGCTCTGACCTGCATGATCAAAAAACAGTTGTTTCACCATTCAGATTTCTGATTTCAGTATATAGAAATGCTTTTACTTTTTCCCCTGAAGCAGTCATTTCCCTGGTTTGGTACAGGTAAACTGTTGAAACATCAGTCTGGGTTTCTTCTCATCTTACATTTTATCTTTCTGTAATTTACAGTACCAGGAGATGTTAATTGATTTTTTCATTCTGCAATTCTGAAATATTAAAGCTAACCTCTCAGAAACAAAACAAAAGGCAAGTGGCACTATTACCATAAATAACTGAAGTAAATACTAAGATACAACTTGCCTTTGGGGAAGTTCTTAATTAGAGCTGTACTCCTCATAACAGTTTTAGGTATTACAAAGCCAAAACATGAGGGAAAATTGAAAATATAGGAATGCACTTTGTCTTGGGGATTCTTTTAAATACATTCTTTTATGTCAAGAATAAACTGCAAATAAAGTAGTCAAAATCTTAGCATGGAAGGTTAAGTCACTGCTCTGGCAAAGGAAGCAGTGCAGAAAGCAGGACATAATTTAAGAAACTAAAAATGGATTCTCTATTCAAATCCTAACCCCAGCCAGGAATCTAGTTAATGAAGTACATCAAGAGACTGCATTTAATAGACAGGGTCAAACTAAGTCACCTCCTCAGTCTTATACATGAAGATTAGCAACCACCCAGCCCTGGGTCCCTTCACTTTTTTATCTTATGCTATATATTCAACTGATTTTTGCTGTGAAAGCTCCATCGAAACCAGTCGCGCTCTGAGTAGGCAGAAGCAAAAACCTCCTCTCCTGCTGACTGGAAAGTGTAGAAATCACTGATCAGGCAGGCACATGAGCATTCCTGTGATCTTTGCCAACTTATTACACAGACAGGGATGGGCTTTGGAATCAGGTTTAAACAGCAGTATTGCAGAGGAGCATAACACTCAGTACAGTTCTTGGATCAGAAGAAGGCCTTGATGCCTCTACATGCTGCTCCCTGAATATACCACCCTGCAAAAACTAAGTTTCCTTTGATTTTTTTTTTCTTTAACACTTTTCATAGAATCACAGAATATGCTGAACTGGAAGGGGTCCACCAGGACCATCAAGTCCAACTCCTAGCCCTGCACAGGACACCCCAACAATCCCACCACATGCCTGAGAGCATTGTCCAATGCTCCTTGAGGTCTGTCAGGCTTACTTTCTCTGTGTTTGAAAAGAAAAATTAAGAAAAATAAAATTTGGCAAACCCACAAATTGTCATTTCTCAGTAGATGTAACTTCTTACCCATGGGTTTATTGTCAGGAGGCAGATGATGACAACCAACTATCTCACCTCAGCAGAGCATTAGAAGAGTATTTAGGACTGTGTGCTATTCAGAAAGTATGATAAGGGGATAAGTAACATAGATATTGTCAGAAAGGAAATATAATTACCTACAAAGTCACCATTTCTGTGAACATCTGTGAAAATATCTCTTCACAATATTTAAAAAAAAAAATAGACTGGAAAACCAAAGAGCTTTCTAAGTCAAGGGGTTTTCCAAGTTCATCTACTGATACATGCCACACTGCACAGATTTCACAGTTTTTAGCTAGTTTCTCCAGGTTTTCATACATCATGACTGTAATTTACACCATTAATCTCCCTGCAGTGAAACTGGGCAACTTTCTGAGAAATTGGAGGTGCAATTTTAAAACATAAATGTTTTACCATTAGATTTTAACAGAAAATTTGATGTTAACAAAATACAAGAATATTTTAAAGTAATTTATATTTTATACTAATGGAATTTTGTTGAATAAATTGATTGCAGTTGGAAATACAAGTTAAAAAAATTCCAGTCCTATAACTGAATTAGAAACGTGTAGAAAAGAGTGAAAAATAGACTTAATGCCATTTTCACATTAAAATTAACAACATGAAGAAGTGTCATATGCAAAATTCATACAGAGAAAAACTAATAATTTTTTTTTCCTTTCTTATTTTTTTTTGCATTTTTCAAATACAGTCACATAGCTCTGTGTGTAATTAGCAAATCTGGGAAACTCTTATTGAGGGTCAAAATTTCACGCAACCTCCATACCCCACAAATTTGACAGAACTGGGTAATGCTACACCTGGTTAACTTACTTTTTTTTCCGCAGCAACATTTTTGATACTACTTATCAGCTTCCCACAGTACCGACAGAAATCAGCAGCACCACCAATTTTGTTCCTTCTTGTGGCCTACATTTTATATTCCAGTTTCTTTGATGGATTGTTGTTTTGTTTTTTGAAAAGTGAAATAAACTTCACACCACAGAACAAAATTGTTGCAAGAAAAAAATTAAAGTGATGGCTGAAAATAAATAAATACATAAGTAAATAAACAAGTAATTTGATCCTCACAGCTTTAATGTTCTGCATATAACCTTAGCATGATACTGCTCCCCATTGCCTGTCAAAGCAGGCTACTGTTCTTGGATTAAGCAGTTAATGCAGTTGGTGCTGAAAGAAATTGCTCACTGTACAGCTGCTCTTGTTAACATCCAGCTCATCAGCACGAAATGCCTTATCCATAAAATACCTCTTTAGCTCTCTTTTGTCCAAGAACAAGAACAGGAGCATCTCTGACCGTATCAGTTTAATGAGACTGAAGTGTTTTACTAAGGAGGAGGAGTTATGAGGAAGACCAAACTCCTCTCTCTAAGCAATTATAAATCCGAAATTAAGAGGCTCCAATTGAGGAAGTATGGAGAAAGAAAAAATAACAGCCCTTTATTAGAGGATATATGTGTATTGCCAGAACAACAAAAGAACACAAAACCAACCAAACAATAATCCTGTACCCAAAAACCCCCTTCAAAACGGAAACAGTTCAGTACTTTCTGCCTTTTGGCACAATTAAAACCACGATGAGGAGGGGGCGCTGTTGGATCACTGGAGGAGCAGAGCCTGCAGTTGCTGGGTGTTGGTCAGCAGGGGGAGCTGTTGGGCGCTGGTGGTCACTGTGTGGGGCCTCGGTACGTGGGAGAAGGCAACGATGGTGATTTTCTCCCCACACACCAAGAAGGGGAAGGGGAATAGAGGAAAAAGGGGGCTCTTCCCACGAAACTCATGCAACTGGCTGTGGCTAGGACTTCCCCCCCTCATCGATGGGCACAAGCCTCTGCCAACACGGGAGTGGAGGAGAGAAAGGGTGGCCTCCTCCCCAAAAGGTTCCTCTGAAGGTGGGTCAAGACTCTGATGAAGTTCAAGCAGGTCTGGGCTGGGGGCAAAACAGGGCGCAGGAAAATTGAAGGCAAACTGGGGCCAGAAAACAGCCAGATTACTAGGCCTAAAAACAAAGTGAACCTTGGACCCCTCCAAAACACCTTGCCTCAATTAGGGCAAAAGTGAAGTGCCTGCTGTTTCCCAAGGAGAGGGGAAAAAAACTAACCTCCCCCCACAGTCTTCTGACAGCCATCAGTCTGGAATGCAGGCCTGGTAGTTAGTTCTTTTGTGTATGTCAATCACTCCAGCCACAAGAACTACCTTCCCCCTCCCTCCTTCAATATCCCTCTTTCAAAAGGATGCAGGGGAAAGAAAAAAAATCCACTTGGGTTTTTTTTTTTAGAACAAGTAAACCTATGACACTGACAGACACCTAATTCACCCTCAAACAAGGGACATCTCATGGACCTGGAACAGTCTGACCCTGCAAAATGTGGTGAGGGAAATGGGTGGTTGGAGAGACAATGGAAAGGAAGGAAAGCCACAGAATTGTTATTGAAAGTCCCTAAGAATGCGAGGGATCACTTTTGTGTACAGACATCCGTAATTAAGCCCCTAGATAAAAAGTGAAGGCGTGAGTTGGGAAACTGATAACATGACTGACTCTGTGGGATGGACCTAATCCATAAAACTGGAGGTAGTTGGAGGCATGCAGGAAAGAAAATTAAGGTTAATTGAGGGAGCTTGCACTTCAAGGGTGCTATTTTTCTCCACTAAAGAAATTCTGGACAACTAGCTCAGATGCAGAAATGCAGGTAATAAAGGCAGAGGGAAGCATAACAGATTAAGTATCTGTGCAGACACTTCTGTTCTATTTAACAAAAGTGCTTGTGGCACTTTAATCAATGCATGTTTAAAAAGACAAGAGATCATCTGGAGAATTTTCTTACTGGATAATGATAGGATTTACTCCTGTGATTAGTAACAGCATCAGGTGTATTTAGCTCTTAAATCATACTCGCAAATAAATTTGAGCAGCAAGCAAACTTCCTAATAGTTTAAAAGTCTTTGTAGACTCTCATGTCTGTGTGATTTACACTGAAGAGGACAAAGAGTCTTGCAGAGCATTCACAGCCTTTGGCCTTGCAGAATGAACAATTATAAAGCAACAAAACACCTGTGGATCTACTTTAGGATTTTATCTTAGCACGTAACTGCATCATGATGCTTTTACTCACCCTTCCAAAAGTGAATGATCCTTGTCTTGGAACAAGGCATCTGTGCCAGAGGAGAACACACTCAGATAATTTGTCATTATTCCAGTTAGAGGAAACCCAATACGAACTACTCAAATAGCAAAAAAGACTTCCTGAAAACAATTTTAGGTGCAATAAATAAACCAATCCTCATTTATTTATCCTCATATCTCACTCAGAGATGCAAGTTCCTTGTACAACACCTGAAGTGTTACACTAATAACTAATGAGTGTGGGTACTTACATGTAAAATCATCACCCTGGTCTCCTGTATTCAAACGGAAAGCATTTCTAGAGTGTGATATATTTTATTTTAAGAGAATTTGTAGGAATAGATCAGGTGCCTTTTTTTGAGAGACATTTTCAGGTCTCTAACCTGTCACAGACATTTACCCTGGGACCTTCTAATGCCCAAGGAGATGCACAACGCATGAAAGGTACAGATTATTTTTTATTTTTCCTGACCATTGTGTACTAGTCCAATAGAACAATTCTAATTGCAAGCCAAATACATATATTTATATCAGCCTTAGACCCATTCAAATAATTTTCATGGAAAAATTCTCCCGTGACAAACTGTGGTTTGTGTGTCCTTTAAACTCTCAAGAAAGATCACCTTGTTGGAATATTTTTTTGTAGTTAAAACTGCAATGTCATGAACTGTCTCCCTGGCATCTTACCATAGGCCAAAACAGAAGGTAATATAATGGGTGAACAGCAAAGGTAATATAATGGGTGAACAGCAAAAGAAAAGCAATGAATTGATTTGGAACAGTCCACTGTGAGATCCTGGATCCGAATCTCATGGAATTATTGATACGGGTCGGAACCAACTCACTGTGAGAGTGTGTGTGCGCATGTGGGGAGGGGCTGGCCCTGGACCTGCAGGTCCATGGTAAGGCCTGCACATCAGGCCTCTGCTGAGGGCACAGGGCAGAGCTGAAGGCAAGGCCTGCAGCCCGCGCAGAGCACGTGGCAGAGCTGAAGGCCCTGCAGCCTTGTCAGTCGGGCTGTCAGTCAAGGCAGAGCTGCCTGAGAGCTCGCCCACACCACACCCCTGCAGCCTGTGACTGGCTACAGCACAACTCAGCTGGGGCTGGAAAGCGCTGGTGGGATAACCTGCCTGGGAGGGAAAACTGAACTCTAGAAATACATGAGACTCCATGTGGTATCCCTGTCTTTCTCTTCTCCCTCTCTAGCTGGTACCATGTGAATCACCAAATCTTGTCAGCAACCATTTTTTTTCCCCTTTCCTTTCTCTGCTTCTCTCTTTCTTTTCTCTTTACCCCTTTTAATCTGTTTTCTTTCACTCTTTTCTTTCTCTTGTGGGTAACTTAAAACCAGTGAACTGTGTTTTACTAAAGCTGGTATATGAATTATTTTAGTGGGTGTTTCCTGTGGAATGGATCTTTGTGCTGAATGTTTTAGTGAAATGTTTTTTTCCTGGTTGTATTTTACTCGTGTAAATACTTTTTGCCAAAATATCCTATTTTCTCACTAAATTAAATAGCCTTTCTCCTAGAGAAGAGTGTGAGACTCTTTCTCCAGATGCTAATTAGAGGTTATAACAAACCAAAAGGCTTTTAAAAAGTTTTAAATAAAAATTTAACCTCTCTGGGCAGTTTATGGCTTAATCCAGAGCGTGACATCCACCTAAAAGAAAATAAGAATTTTATAATAGTTAAATATGTGAACTAGAACTTGCCCATGTAAATCATGTAACTATCTTAATACTGTGTTTTTGCAACTTGCATCTCAAAAGCCTTGCAGAACATTTCTTTTGGGGAGGGGGGAGAAAAGCATAACAAGTGCATTTTTTATTTATTCTGTGTGAGCAACAGAAGCAATTTTCTATTTCCTTTGCCTTCTTTTCCTCTGCTTAAATTCACCTTCAGTATGATAAAATTCCATTGTAAAATGGAAAATTATTATACAGTCAGAAAGGAAACATATAGTAGTACAGGTTTTCAGCTTTTACAAATCACCTAACACAGATCATTTATCTGATTAAAATTTACTATGTAATTATAACTTTATGCATTTAAAGAGGATAAGATATATTTAAACAGTCCACTTTCTTCAAATATAGTTTGCTTTCATTTAAAACATCTGAAGTCTTCTCAGTTTTATCAAGGGATGTACTATTTATTTTCCACAACATTTTGTTCTTCTTCTTTCCTTTTCTCCTGTAACTTTAAATCTTCCCAAAGGAATCCATAAAAATAAGCAATTTAAATTGACTCTTTCTATGCTGAATTATCCATTTTTGCCTCCTCCAGATTGCAATTTACATTCCAAGTGGTGTCTGAAATGAGAGTAAGTACTTTTTTTTTTTAATTTTGATGTGTATTCTGTTCCAAGCACTATTTCTAGAACATCATGCATCAAAAATTCACAACAACAAGAATATAAAATTGCCTTGGGATGACTATTTCTAGGGCACATTCAAGCATTAAATTTGTTCACTACAATAAGAAAATGAAATTGCCTTGGAACCTAGCATTTAACTACTTTTAAAACTGTCCTGTTGAGGTGATGTGCAGTAACCCCCTTTTGTCTACAACAAAGTGAACTGCATTAATTAAATAATTTTCAGTTTCCAGTTATATTTTACTCTTGGCAACATCAAAAGTGTAGATTTTTTTTTCTTTTCCCTTTCAGGAGTACTTTGAAAGTATAAACCTACACATCTTTGGATTCCCAGACTTTTCTAAGTCACATACATTTCTTGCATGTCTACTGAACAAATATACTATGATCCAAAGCCCTTGAAAATCAACAAAAATCTTTCCATTGTCTTTAGAGAGCTTCAGGTCAGCTCAAACGTACTAAGTTTTTCTTGGAAAAATCCTAAGAATTCAGGGGGGAAAAAATACAAAAAATTGATTAGAAATTCTCTGTTCTTCTTTTTTTAACCCACAAGTGAAAAATGCCTCCCTACATGGTTGTCTGTAAATTAAGATATTCACAAAGCACTTTCAGAACAGAAAAGTTTTAGAGCTACAGAAAATGTAAGAACACCCATGAAACAGCAGGCTGTATCAAAAGAGCTAGAAAATGAAAAGCCATGTGCAGACTTCCTGTTGCATATTAAAGGCAGTCTGGGAAACTACCAAAAAAAAAAAAATCCAAAGAAGGAAGAAAGCAATGCAGTATAATAAGTTTTTACTGCTTTAAGTTGTTGGGCAAAATACTGACAAGAAGCATTCATAATGCTGAAATTGCTTCAAAACTTTTATTACATATTAGCACAAGGCAAACAGAATGTGTTAGATCTTACTCTTACAACTAGAACTGAGAATAAAGTAATGAAAAATATGCATGAGACCACTAAAGCTAGAGACTGAAACCTCATATTTCGTCTCACTTTGTGATGAATATTCACTTGCTGTGACCCATATGATTTTAAATCATGTGCTGCTTCAAAAACTGTAATAGTAACCTAAGCATAAGATGCAGAGGCATATATAGTAACTGTGGTAGTTTAGTCTAGGCCTTCCTTGGTGACCAGTTTGTAACCAAGGAAGTGCCCAGATTTACCCAGTATTCCCTACGATTTTTATGTAAGTCGAGGTATAAGAAGAAAGGAGGAGAGGCCTTCAGCACTCTTTCCTTCTGGCAGCTTTGGAGGTGCGAGTTTCCCTGCTGTTGAGTCTGTCGGGTTGGGGAGTGAGGCCTGGTAAGGCCTTGCCAACCCTGGGAGGCAGAGGTTGCCGGCAGTCATTCCAGCATGACTTTCCATTGTCCCAAGGAGAGTAGTAAGATATTCTTTTGCTAATTCTTTTAGTTGCTAGATCTTGGGCTATTGATCTTGTATATTTTATTTTGTTTGTGTTCCTTTTTCCCTTCCCCCTTCCCTTTCTCTTTCCTTGTGAAATTGTATATGTATTTCAATTGTATATAACTGTAATATAAGTGTAAATATATTTATATATATTGCTTTAGCTGTCTCTCTCGCTCGTTTCAGTTCTCTTTCTTTTTTCCCTCTTCTCCCTTGGTTTGTGGAGGGGGAGGGGAGTCTTTTGGTGAGGTTTGGGGACTTGGCAGGGAGCCAGCTTCAAACCATATCAATAATGTAAATATGATTTTGCAAATAGTAAATTGAACTAGAACTCATAATTTTAATTTTCCTCATAATAAGTGTCCTGTTTTGATGTTTCCTTCTCATCCTGGACTAGATTTTCTAAGTGATGTCAACAGTACTTCAACTACAATTTTGGGGGATTGGTTTGTTGGCAATGTGGCAATGCCAACATTTTAGCCAGTTGTGCTATTACTGAGCCAAATATATATATACTATTAATAATTAGACCATTTATAAACCTTTTTTTTTTAAATCAGAGTATTTTTAAGGCATGATGCCTGAAAAATTAGTTTTCTAAAATGTGCAGAAGGCATAAGATGAGTTTGAGGAATTATTCAGGAATCTTTTACTTTAAATGACTGCACCAGTGAACCTGTATAGTGACACTAGACCTGGAAATTCAGAATCTTTAAAAGATGAAGTCTGTTTGGGTGTTCGTTTCACCTTTTGTACTTACAGCAGTCTTCTTTTGATTATTTAAACTTCAGACTACCTTTTTAACTTTGTCATTCACAGTCTGTCCAGGCTTCTAATAAGGTGATAAATGCTACCATGCTACTGATTTCTAACATGCAACTCCGTGCCAGACTTGTAATACATATTTACTACAAACTTCTTATCTCAGTTTATGACACATCATACAAAAATACAAGATAATCAACCATAACTTCCTCTTCCCCTCAGTCTCCTCCAAAAAAAAAAGAAAAGAAAAGTAGCTCAATATTGGGCTAAATGTCAAGTTCTCCCCTTTGTACAAAAACTGAGTCATAAAACTACAGCACCACAGCACCACAGTTAGAAACACCACCCTGCCTCTGGCAAAAAATAACATTTCTATTATTAATATTTCTTAATTCCTTTGGTACACCAGTACAGGGACAGGGAATGGCTTTGCTGCTTGCACAGGGACAGGGAATGGCTTTGCTGCCTGTCAACCTCTCTCTTGCACTACCAGAAATATAGCCCCAGAGTTAAAATGAGCTTTGGGAGCTCAGCAGTAGCTCAGCTCTGGTTGTCCTTAAACAATGCATAAAGTGAAGAGCCAGACTTGCTGTGACCCACTGTGTGCTCCCCGTGAAGGGTGAAACAGGATTCTTGGAGAAAGGAAGAGGGAATAATTGTTTCCTTTCAATCAGCAAGTCTCTCTGTTCTTCACTGCCAGAAACATCACTAGAACCGAAACTGTAATGTAATTATAAACTCTTTCTGAGAACTTTTAGTAGCACCTGAGCAGAATAAATTGGTGTCAAAAATATCAGAATTGATCTTTCCACCTCTAGAGGCTGGGGTGTTCTCAAAAGCAGAAAAAGAAACTGAAAAAGATGATCATTCACTACAAGTGGTTCTGAAGCCTCCTGTGAAAGAAGTCTATAAGGAAATAAACAGCACTGCTGCTCAGAGCTGGGGAAAGGATGCAAAGCCCAAAGGTAAAAGAGGGAGCCCAGGTGTCACTTAGGGCTGAGAGATTTAACTGTCAGCCTTGGAAATCTGTTCTTAACCACTGCTTAAGAATAAATGTTAAACATTAACACTGAAAAAGCATCAAAATTCATTTCAGACCCAAAAATTCCCAGCTAATTCTCAGCTAATTCTGCTAATTCCCAGTGCATCTTTCTTGATAGTGCTGAGTTTTGCTGACCTCTGATTCTTACTGGGATTCAGGAATAACATGATCTCCTGCATAAAACTCCCAAGGAGTTCAATCCCATGAGTGTTCTGAGATGAAGTTAGATCCAATAAGTGTTCTGAGACTAAATTTAACACTTACACCAAACCTGGGCAAACCATAAAACAGCACCAGCCACCTCAATCCCCTTGAGTGACTATGGAGCTGCATCCCAGCTGGGAAGAAATGGAGGGGGCTTTTGTCAGAAGGAAACACACAAAAAACAAGTAACACAATTCTGTTATGTTCAAGACATGCTTCATTTGCTTTCAAAATGAGGAAATAGGTCTCTGTTTCCAGGAGAGCAGCCGCTGTGGCTTTACAGACTCAGATCTGCTGAATGCACGGAGTGATACTCATTATAAATTACTATGGTTTTGTTTATTCTACTTCTATGTGGGCAGAAAAAACCTATTTCACGTGTATGACATCAAAATTGCATACATAAATTCAGGAAATAGTTAAATTAGAGTATAAAGATTAAATTAATTTCAATAGAAGCAATAAAACTGATGTTGCTGAGTATTTGCAGACTGTGATTGTCAGCAAGAACTTGGATGGATTTCCTGATTTGCTCTTTATTGAAGCACAATTGATACTAATTTGATGAATGCAGAAATACTGACTATGGCTTTCAGTGAACTAACCTTGTTTAGGAATAGAGAAATATGAAAAGCATGCCACCAGTGCATGACAGCCTTTGTGTACAGCTTCCTTCCTTTTACCTTTATTACCTCAAAATGAGACAAATATGAATGTGTTATCAAACCTGAATATGAAAAACTAGAAGTCCTGACCTGACAAATGAATTTCAGTTATTCCATCTGATGGAATATTCTTCTATTTCTATTTGCTATTTTTTCCTAAGCATGCATAGAAATAATTCAGGAAAATGTACATCTTTACATATTGTTTCAGGAAAATGTACATCTTTACATATTGTTTCAGGAAAATGTACATCTTTACATATTGTTTTCACTATATATATTGTTTTCACTTTACATATTGTTTTCACTATAGCCACTGGTATGGATTTTTTAATACTTTGTTTTTAATAGGGCCAATTACATGAGAAGATCAGAGAAATGAAGGAGTTTATCTCAAAATAAAATTGAGTTACAGGATACAAGATTTGGCCTTCCTAGTATAACTCTTGAGTGATGCTCATAAACAGATCAGTCATGATGTGCATTACTAAAAGATACCCCCACAGACATTCTTTTCTGTTCATGATTGTCAGTGTTCATGATTCAGCTAAAAAAAAAAAAAAATGTTACTTTTCAGAGGAATGAAGTGTCGGATTTATTGGGTTTTTGTTTTAATTTTTTTTATCTGGTTTCAGTGTTACCAGAAGGAATGGCCATACCAATAAGGAGACCCAAGACTAATTTCCTCATATAAAGCATCATCCACTGACAGGAGACTCCACACCTTATGGCTCAGAAGTACCACTGACTCCTACAGAAGTGTTATTAAAACTAAAATAAATAAAACTTTTTAGTTTCTTCCATGAATTGCAGCAGTGACCACAGTGGCACAATAGGTGAAGCACTCTCAGGTCACATTTATGTTCCTTTCTACAGTGATTTGGCTTGGAAAATATTTACATAAAGGGTAACAAGGTGCCTGGTGCATTCAAAGCAAGAATGACAATGAATTTATCTTCCTCTAAACTTGTTTCAGCTGTTAAAGAAGGAATGATACGCCTCATGCTTGTACAGGATTACTCACCAATCCAACCAGTTTCCAAGATTTTTACATTCATTTGTGCTTATTCCTGAAAGAACAAATTATACATAAGATATCTGTGTTCTGTAGAGTTTAACTGGAAACACAGAGTGGGAAAACAGACATGAGAAAGAATGCTTAATTATTTAACAGCATTCAAATAACTAAGTTACTCAGACTCAATAGCAGTCGGAGTGTGGTACAGCTAATGCTTTGAGAAGTTTTAGCTTCCTTTGAATTTTTTATTCCATATAAATTGAAAGACATGATACGCATATTTTAGCTCATATTTTCAACTACTTTTCAGCAGATAATATGGCTAAAGGTCAGCAGCCAGCTTAGAAGAAAGGGAAACAGTGTCTCTGTGAAGTTAATTTGCTAGAAAGCAAAGGGCACAGTCCTGTAGTTGCTCATAATGCAAGACTGTCACTGCCTTCCCAGGAAGATGGAAGAGCTCAGTGTGGAGGATGGCTAGTAATTTGCAGTGCTGAATCCATGAGGTGCAAATCTGCCTAATTTCCGAGAAATTATGTGCTAAATATTTTTATCCCCAGCTGGAAAAACCACAGTGGAGAACATTAACAATATTCTTAAATGTAAATACCTGAATTTTTAGTTGGCTGAACCTGTCATCCACACAGACACACAGGAGCCAATCACTTCTAGGGATCAAACCCAGAAATGTCAAGACTGAAAGATCAGACTTCCATTGTATCAAGTGAAAAATTGATCACCAAGATGGAATAATTAGTTTGTTCAGTTGCTGGAAACAGGTATTGTGGGTGCTAGTTGAGATAACAATTTCTGCTTTGTTTTTTAGAAGACCGCGTCTAAAGAAAATTAGGCATTGACCATAAAATTGGTTTTACACGGACTAAAAAACAGTCACTTGAAAGAAACTTTTAAGCTTTTACAACCTGAGCCAGGCACAAACTCAGAATCTGAAAGGAAGGGTCCTTCACTTGGACCAGACACACACACACATCACTTTAACAAAGGTAGAACGAATGTTGGTGAATGCAAAAGTACAGTTAACTTACTGAAACTATGCAGCTATTTCCTGCTCTGTTTACGTGGTGTGTAATTACTTGGTTGTATTACTTAGGCATCTACAGATGTGTAGCCATTAAATGAATTATTCATTCTTCTCAAAATGAAAGTTAAAATTATGCATCAAAAATGAAAGTTGCAACTATATATCGCTTTCACTCTTTTCTCCTTTACTCTATGTCATTATTCATTTTTTCCACATGCATTATTCTGTCCAACCCTGTATAAGAAAATAGGGTAGATATATGGAATCATACATATCTTAACAGTAACTATTTTATTTACATAGACAAATGAAACCATGATTGCTGTCCATATAGATTTACACAAAGCTAATATAAAAATACATTGTCTATACTTTGAAAATAGAGAGTGTTTAAAAATTTATAAGCTTTGTGATCCTCAGCTGCTTTTCCATGATCATGTTATCTTTAATTCAAACTGAAAGTTTTGTAAATTATTATAGACCAAAACCTTGTTGTTTTTTTTTAACTATGTATCAAAGGTAATCATCTACTAGTGATGTAGAATAAATTGTTAGTAAAATATATGAGGGTCTAAGTTTTATTCAAGAAGCTGCCCTGAGGCTGAGTTTGAATGAGCAACCTTGGTCTCTTTAAAGAATTCTCTTACTTGACAGAAAACAGAAAGCAGGGATGAAAAAGTCAGGGAAAATCAGCTTGCAAAGTGATGAGCAATGGAAGCCTCATGACTCTTTTGTATTTTAATTACTCCCGATTTCACTGTAATGTCATAAAATAGAGGAAAATGTGTTTGTTATTCTGAAATCATTACTAAATTCATTGGGTCATTAGGCACCAGATAGATCTCTTGCATGGAAATGCTCCATTCTGTGCATCAGACAAGTAGCTCCAGGACCACAGTTTCTGAAGGAGGTGTTATGCTGGCACTGAGCAGGAAATGACTTTTTCCTCTCATGACCAATAGTTCAGATGAAATTTTCTGAACTGATAAAATAAGTGCATTTTCAGTTTGAATTACTCAGAATGTTCTACTGACATCCAAATAATCCTCTTCAATGTTATGGAGTTTTGTGAAGATTACAGTTTCACTTCTCATTAAATTTCTAAGTATTATGCACTTAAATTCTGTTTCAGATAACACAATCAAAACCTTCACTGAAACAAGGCAAGAACGTATTATAAAAACCACTATTTTCAAAAGCATTTCCTGAGAACCTAACTGAAACAAGCACTTTCTCATGAAAGGCTTCTATTTTGCTAAATTACCTCTTTCAACAACAAAAATGTCTCACAATATTGAGAGGCCTTGTTTTTTTATGAAACCTATCCTTCCACTTTCTGCGAATAAATCTCTGTAACAAACTCTTACAAATGGTAATTTTCCCACATTTTAACACTTGTATCTGAAATGATGACATGTAGCAAGACTCCCTGTATTGCAGTGTCTGGCTGTGAAGGGTTCTGGGATGTTGCTACCTTATAATACACACCAAGTGAATTACCTCTGAGATCATCAAGTCCAACCCTTAATCCTCTACCACCGTGGTTACTAGACCATGGCACTAAGAGCCACATCAAGTCTCATCTTAAAAACCTCCAGGGACAGAGAATCCACCACTTCCCTGGGCAGCCCATTCCAATGCCTGATTACCCTCTCTGTAAAGAATTTCTTCCTAATATCCAACCTAAATCTCCCCTGGCAGAGCTTAAGACCGTGCCCTTTTGTCTTACTGATAGCTACCTGGGAGAACACCAACCCCCACCTGGTTACAACCTCCTTTCAGGGAGTTGTAGAGAGTGAGGAGGTCTCCCCTGAGCCTCCTCTTCTCCACGCTGAACAGCCCCAGCTCCCTCAGCCTCTCCTCATAGGACTTGTGCTCCAGTCCCTTCACCAGCCTTGTTGCTCTTCTCTGGACCTGCTCCAGCACCTCGATATCCTTCCTGAACTGAGGGGCCCAGAACTGGACACAGCACTCCAGGGGTGGCCTCACCAGCGCTGAGTACAGGGGAAGAATCACTTCCCTGGACTTCTTGGCCACACTGCTCCTGATGCAGGCCAGGATGCCATTGGCCTTCTTGGCCACCTGGGCACACTGCTGGCTCATGTTCAGCTTCCTGTCAATCCAAACTCCCAGGTCCCTCTCTGCCTGGCTGCTCTCCAGCCACTCTGTCCCCAGCCTGTAGCGCTGCAGGGGGTTGTTGTGGACAAAGTGGGGGACCCAGCATTTGGTCTTGTTGAACCTCATCCCGCTGGAATCAGCCCAACTCTCCAGCCTGTCCAGGTCCCTCTGCAGAGCCCTCCTGCCTTCCAGTTGATCAACACTCCCCGCCAACTTAGTGTCATCTGCAAATTTGCTGATGGTGGACTCAATCCCCTCATCTAAATCATCAATAAAGATATTAAACAGAACTGGGCCCAACACTGATCCCTGGGGAAAAAGTGAAAATAAAAAAAAAAAAGGGAAAAGAAAAATAGACTGGTCCTGTAGTTTTAAATGTTTAATACATCTGTAGAATAGAGATAGGATGGGTTTGTACCAGTTTAGAGATAAATCTCACATGTTGGTGGTCATTTTCTAAATCCACCACACAGATCTATCTCTTCTGATCTGTACTTTATTTCCTTTGTCCCTTCCAGTCAACTCTCTTCCTTAACTTCTTTTGCAGAAAATTAAATATGTCTGGATAAAGCAGAATGCCCCACAGGGGCATCTAAAAGGTGTTGCCACTTTGCCTATGACTAATAAACAAAAAACTCCTCCGAATCCTTCTTCTCTTACCACCACACTAACAGAAGTTCATCTTCCACATTTCCCTTTGTTGCTTTTCATTGCACTCCACACTCAGAATCCCTGTCTTTGCCAGTGTGAAATTACCAATTCAGGCAGTGCTGGGAAAGCAAATGGCACTCCTGCCCATGTCTGACTGACCTGATACTCCAGATTCCACTCCAGAATTGCAATTTTTCAGTGCTATTTGTGCATTACTTTTTTTTTTCCTCTGAAATACTGAGGATGCCTTTGCCAGAGGGAGGAGGTAGGATTTGAGGAGCAAAAGTCATTCAGAAGCTGACACTTGTTCACCTCTTGACTTTTCTCTTAAAAAATCAAACATAATTAAAGATTTGTTTCTATTCTCATTGGAGTTAAAATAAATTATTATAATGAAAGATCAATGTGCTTTTCAAAAATATAAAGAATAATGACTTCACAGAGTTCATAGTCAGTCTTGTGGGTTGATTTCCTCCTTGAAGGCATATTTCATTTAAATAGATTCCTAAAAGTTGTTTAATGTAAATGGGATCTATATGTAACGTATCAGTCCTTAGCTCTATTCAAAAACAAGACAATAAAATTTACAATGGAAAACAATAAGTAAATATTTATAATGTTTCTTCATGCCTATTTCTTGTACCAATCTTCTTAATCACCATTTCTATTTCATTTGATAGCACTATATTTTGTCATTAACAATCACTGAATGAAGTTTCTTCCATGCCAGACTGTCTCAGTTTAACAAGACAGAAGTGTTTGCTAATGAGGATGAGTTATGAGGAAAACCAAACTTCCTCCTCTAAGCAATTGTAAATCCGAAATTAGGAGTCTTCAGTTGAGGAAATGTGGAGAAAGAAAAAATAACAGCCCTTTATTAAGGGATATATGTGTGTAGGTAACACAACAAAAGAACAAAAAACAAACAAAAAACCCCTCACCCCATGAGTTCTGCACCGAAACCCGGTCCTTCCCCCTGAGGGAGAAAAAAAGAATACCAAAACCTAAGTTCTCGATACCCCCCCACCCTGGCAAAACAGTCATTAAATTCTAAGCCAAGCATTCACCAAAACCTGAAAAACTCGTCTCCACCCCAGCGAAGCAGTTGGTGTGAAAAAATTTACCAGAAGCTAATGAAAAAAGGAAGAAAACCTACGAAACATAGAAAGACACAAACAAAAAAACCTACAAAACCAACTGACCAACCAACCAAAAAAACCCCAAACAACCAAAACAAACAAACAAACAAACAAATACCACAAAAAAGCACAACAACAACAAAACACTTAAAACTGAGTTTAGCACAGAGCAAGTCATTTCAGTGACTTTCTCTCCAGCAGAAAAGGAGCAGACCTCATAAATTTTTATTAGCAGTTTCTAGAGAATCATTAATGACTCAGCTGCCACTCTTCACCTGGTTGTAAATTTGATCTTCCATTCCCAAACATCTGTGCTGACCTTCTGGCATGGAAAGCAGACTATGTCACTTGGAACTTTCTCTGCAGGTCTTCTGAGAAGCTGATGAGGAAAAATCATAGAATTGCAGAATCAGAGAAATGTTTGAGTTGGAAGAGACTTTAAAGTTCACCCAGTTCCAACCCCCTGCAATGGGCAGGGACACCTTCCACTAGACCACGTTGCTTGGTTTTGATTCTCTTATGCAGAATGGGGATAAATGTTCTGATTTTTTATAAAATGATAATGTAAATGTCCCCTTCACTTGCATCACTTCTGCAACTGCTGCTGCCAAAGACATCACCATTCAGACTTTCTTCCAGAGACTTCTGCAAGCAGCAGAGAATTCCTTGTGGACTGGCAGGTCCACCTGAGAAGGTGAGTAGCACTCATCAACTGCTCTGCATGTTTGCATGAAGAAGTGTGAAGAAAATCGTCACTGTGAATTTAGCAGTTGAAGTATGGACACAGTTCATTGTCTGTGCATCTCCTCCAGTGTCCCAGCAG